AGGTTTATCGTTGTTTGTATGGAAAACAATACATTAATAAATAATAATACATGAATAAACTCTTCTTCGATTACTCACAACTATAAATCTACTTTTGTCCCACCCTATACATTAAGTCTAATTTAGAGGCTTCCTGAGTGATAGAACATGTTGGAAAACTGAGGATCCCTATGGCAATTATAAGGTGCTTAGATGTTGATAGAGGACTTGGGAAAAATAGGTGGGAACTTCAGTAAATTCCTGAAGCATTACAGTCCAAATATATTGGCAGTTGTTCCATGTAAAGACAAATAAATATTGTCTATTTGGTACCACAGGAATGCTAAAGAGAGCTGAATGTAAGTTTACTACTGTGAATCACTTAGGATTTGTTAGAAACTGTGGTAGTAAGGTGTGTGGTTTGGGTACCCCCAGAAAATGAGGAATTATAATTTTACTTATTGCCCCTAGATCTTGGAAAACTCACCTCCTTGCCCCTTTGGCTTTTTAATTTGGAGAATAGGAGTGCTACAAGGGCTGGTTGGTGCAAGGGAGAAATCAACTTTGGGAAATCAAAGATTTGACAGTGCGGGTGAGCCCTTGCACAGTTTCTGCTTTTAGTGGATAGTGAGGCAATTTAGGCAAAGGTTTGGTAGATTCCGCTCAGACTTTTATGGGTTTAGCACTCTTGATTCTGTACTATCTGTTAATGAAGTTACCAGAGAGTCTGGGGAACTTCAGATAACTCCAGAGTCTCATAGGGTGACTCATCTTCAATATCATCTATAGCAAATTGTATGGCACATAGTAATTCTGATTCAGACTGGTCAGAGAATTCAAGGGTTATTTCTCCATTGGGAGTGAAATTTGTGCCCTTGTAATTTAGGTAAAATACTTTGGCTGATTAAATTCAAAGGTTGGACCACAAAGTCGAAAGGTATAATTGTAGGCGATTAGACTGAGGGTCAGTCATCTGGGCTGATTTTAATAGGTAGTCTCCTTGTGTCTTATTTGAACCCCCACTAGTTTATATATTTTTTCACTTGGAGGGGTGTTGCTTTAAAAAGGTGGGATTCAGCATAGGAAAGGTCACTTCTGTATCTACTAAAGCTGTACATGTTTCTTCATTTATTTTTATTTGAATTTCACTGTGTTTATTTAGAGGGACTACAGAAAGCAGTTTTGTATATTTCCCTAGGAGCCCCATCATTGAGGTTGTTTTGAAAGTATGGAAGATGGGTTCGGCATATGTTTCTTTGGGAACAGTTTCTTTTCCAATATCCTGTCTGTTCAGAGATGTGACATGGGCCTGAAGGCCAGGATTGTTGAAGTCAGTTCCCTTAAAGTTTAAAATGATAAGGTGGCTTGTTTGTTGGCTGAGACCCTTGGAGCTGGAGGGCTGTGGGTTTTGTGGCTTTTCTTTTCTGATTCTAAAATACATTCAAAACATTCAGCCAGAATACAAACTTCATCAAATTCATGACTTCCCATTCAGGCCCATTATGCCGATCATACTGGCTGAGATCTGGGAAGAGGCCACTCATAAAGAGGTACTTGAGGGCAAATTGATTTGAGGAAGTTGTTTCAGTAAAACCTGAGTGTCTCAGAAATAAGAGATCGAATCTTGTTCTAAAATCTGCTACTGATGCATCCTTTTTCTGTGTACAAAATTGAACAAGTGTCCAATTTATTCTTAGTGGAAATACTGTGGGAGTAGCCCTTAAAAAATCTTGAGCCATTTTGCAAGCTCACCTAACATCTCTGGCGGTAGCTTGAGCTTCTGATCTAAGGTCCTCTGTAGGTTTCATCCAGCCTGCCTCTCTAACCATTTTCAGGACCCACCAGAATCTATATCAATTGGGATAGGTCAGGGAATCCTGGGTCATCAGCATTAATCAGGATTCTAAAATCCTTGGTAAAGTCTTTGAGGATCCTCCTTTGGGTTAGGGAAATCTTTGCTATGACTCATAATTCAGCCTTGGGCTCTGGTGTAAAAGTGATTTGGTTTGGAGAATAAATTTACAAGGGGCATCCTTGTCTTTATTAGGATTTTCTGTTTGGCCTAGTTTTGAAAGAATTGAGTGATAAGATCTTCAGAATGGAAAGGGAGCTCCAACCATGAGCTGAGAATCTCAGGGTAGTTAGGAAGAAGGGAAGTGAGAGGATGGGGTACAGTAGGAATTAGAGTCAAGGTGTGGAGTGTCTTCTCTGAATTTTTAGATTTCTGTTTTTTTAACTGCATGGTGACTTCTTGCCATGAATCATTCAGAAACACAATTTTTGACTCAGAAGCTTGCACATGAGCATACCAATCGAAGGAATTATCCCATCCTTCTTGTTTAGTGTTCGAACCTCTCCTTTCACCGTCTCTTCACATAACTTTGGCGAGGTTATAAGAGCCCCAAAATGGCCACTGTAATTCTAAATTATCTTTGGTTATTTCTTGCCAATGTTTTGGGAATATACAATTGTTTTCACCTTATTTCTTGATCATAAAAAGGACAGGAGTTCTGAAAGGTGTGTCCCTGTTTTCTTTAGGTAGAGAGGTAGCCATTACTTTTCCTTGTTGAATTAGCGTTTTCTAAGTCAAGAAGAATTCCTGAGCCTGGCTGCCTATGCACAATTCCGGAGAACCTCTAAGTCTCATTGTGAAAATCTGGAGTCTTTCACACCCCGATTTTCCAGCGGAAAGGATTATAACAAACAGTATCATCGAAGAGCTCAGAACACAAAATAAGTGGAAATTGGTCTGAGAGAAGCTTGCAGCCGATCCTGGAGGGGCAGCAAACCTAAAGGGCTCTGTGGGTACCGTCACCTGTGTCTGGGAGCCACCCCCGGATCTTCAGCAAGTTTCATCAGACTCCATCCTCACTGCCAATCTGTCAAATGACAAAAGTATACAATTTAGTAACAAGTTCGATGTTCTTTATTCAAGGGAAAAGTGATCCGTGAATTGGGGAGTACAGTGCCTTTCAAGCAGTGGAGCCTTCTTCCGAGGAATCTTGGGCAAGAGCAAGTTTTATGGAGCGTTAGAAGCAGCGGCACAAAGTGGGTCATGATTGGCTAGGAGCTCAGAGGTTGCCTGGCAAGCCTGGCAGGCCGTTTCCCAGGGGAAGGTGAGCTAGCCAAAGCCGCGTTGGAGGATAGTGACTGGGTTTGTTAGGTTTTCTAAACAGTGAGGTGTTTCCCCAAAGCGTGGGCTGACTTAAGTTTACATTTGTGCTGTGGGTCAGGCCACTGGGGCAACGTCTGTTTTGTGGAAAGCAGGATTCCAAATTTCTAAAATACGTAAAATATAAAAATACATTTCCTCTGTCTTTTCACATTGTTTCAACTAGCATTTGGGGAACAGGTACTGAACATCAGGCTTCTTTTAAATCTTTGTTAGTCTTGATGATTCTGCAGGCTATTTTTTATAAATATGTTTGGTTGGCAAATACATATTGCACCTGTATATAATGTGCAGTAGCCCTGTGGTTACTTTTGTCATGAGATATTTCACCCTTTTTGTGTATACAAAAAATAAGGGTGTTCCAGGCACTGAGATTGCAGCACTGACTGATAGACAAGTTGCCTTTCTCCATAAACTTCATATTCTAGTGAAGACAAACAATAAATTGGAAATGATAGAACTAAACAAGAGAATTTCACAGTGATAAGGTCCATGATGGAAATAAGCAGAAAGATGACATTAAGAGGTGGGTCAGGTGAAGAGGAGATCTTGTGCCTAGAAAAGACTCATCAGGGAAGACTGCTCTGAGGACGTAGCACAAATCAATATGCAAAAATAAAGCAAAACACCACACAGCTTACGTTGCATGATATTTAAAACGCTCTCTCTTTTAATGGCTCACTAGGCTTAAATAATAAAATTCACATTCCTCAAACCAGTGTCCATGGCTGCTAAAATGATACCCTTCTGTGTGTATGCAACTTTAGTTTCTACTGTTCCTAAACATAAACCTTTTGTTCCAGTTAAGCTGCTCCAACATAAATGGCTATATCTTGTCTTGGTTGTTCAGTGTTTCGGTTTGTTTGTTTTGTTGTTTTTAACCATTTTATCTAAATTAACCCTCCCCTATAATATATCTTTCTTTTTGGACCAACCTCCAATCTCATATCCTTGATTTTACCATACAAACTGGGAGTAATCTCTCAGATCATAGAACTTACTCAGTTATCAGTCCAAAATAACCTACTATTTCGTAATTGTCAGTACTATGTATTATCAGTTCTCGATACAGATTAATATATATGTATAAATATACACATATGTGCACATATATCCTGTTTATCTACATGCAACCTATCATCTTGTAGTATGCCTCATCTTTTCTATATTTATATCTATCCAAATAAATTCTATCTTCCTTGGGGCAGGTACCATATTTTTTACTTCTTGGATCCTATATATTTTTTTAATCTACATTATCTTAACACTGGAGTTTTTTTTTTTTTATAATATGAAATACTTTTAAATATTTTAGTTTCCTGTCACTTAAAACTGCAATAAAGTATGGAAATTTAAAAATAATAATAGCTGCAGATTGAGAAAATTCTGTTGGGACCTTGTGTTTAGGACCTTGGATTGTAATTAAATATGGTTTATCACAGTATCAGGAGAGCCATGTGAAACTTACTTATTACTTAATTATTTAATTTTCCTGAAGTTTTTTATTTAAAGAATACAAAAAGGAAAGAGTTGGGCAAAACTGTTATTTTCACCTCTACAAAAACAAGGAAATAATAAAATTTAGTTCACTTCCCTCTTTCATTTTGTCTTCAATAGTAAAGCGTATTAATTGGAAGTTGGGAGCCTGTAAGCATTACTAATATAAATATTTTTAGTAAATTTTAATAGCAATTTTGACTTAGAATATCATAAATAGACATTTTATGTTGGTCTGTGTTTTTTATTTAAGTGTTTAAGCATTTTATATGTTCATATTTAATTTCATTTCGTTTTGTTTTATTAATTTGATGTCATTCATTTATTTATTTTTGTTTTTCTTCTTTTCAAGGCCCTGTGGAATCCTACATGCACTGAAGGTTTATTTAAACCACTACATATTTCCACCTAGGTTAAATCAGTATTTGACCATAAGGACTATATCACAAATCGGTGACATATTAAATGTTGAATATAATCAATTTTCCATTCCATATGTTAGCTATTTCTCAAAGTATGTAAGACAGAAATGTTTCCATTCCAAATATTTCACCCATTTTGCATTTGTACAAAATAGCATAAAATATTGATGAAAGTTTTAACTAACATACTCCTTTTCCTTATTGTACTTTTAAAACAAAATAGACTTTTACTTAAAAATTATCTCTATGTGCAACTATTCTAGGATGTAATATTCCACTTGGCAGTACATATTTTTTGTTCAAGTGTCTCATCCATATCATTTGTCTCTGTGCTTATAGTCTTCATTTAATTTCACCACATATTCTGTGTACGTTGGGTAAGTTTGAAAACAAGGCTTCTAGTTTCCCCCATCCCAGTGGGACAGTTTCTACTGAAGAACTAAATTACCTCTATTTTTTTCTTGCATTAAGATAAAAAGATGAAAGTAGCATGTCTTCAAATGGAATAATGACAAGTCTTATTCTAACTATAGAAAGCAAAAACACTGTATCACTAAACAAGTGAAGAAAGTTTATTGAATATGGACCTTACATTGTGGGAAGTTTCTTGAACGTGTCTTAAATTGCAGCCTACCTCCTGGACTTGGCGTCAACACCAGATTTTGATTTGTCTCTCTATTGACTTTCTATAATAGTTCAACTTAATTATCAAATGGCTAGGAAGCAACGAGGCACTCTTGAACATTGTAGTTTTTTGCAAGGGTAAGTGTCAGAGCCCAGAGCGTGGCTCAGTGTTGTGAGCAGGGTACAGGGAAACGGAACAGCCTTAGATCTAAGGAGCAGAAAGTAGGTTTTACTGAGTTCTCTGTTTTGCAGAGAAGCAATGAAATAATCATGGTTGATGGTGGTAACATTCAGAACTGTGTTATAGAATTCCTTAAATTACTGGGATTATTATGTAACATGTAATATGCATGACCAAATGCTGGGTATAAACCATGGTATTAAAATAAAACTGTAAATGTATTTACATGAAAACACTGTATGTCTCCTTGTTGACTTTGCCACTTAAAGCACTCTTTTATAATTCAATATACAAAAAAAAACCTGTTACTCTAATGGTTTTCTAGAGTTTATTCTTCTATCCTATTTGTATTTGTTTCTTTTTATTGTCTTATTTTACATTTGAAACCTTTAAATGTAGATAATGCAAGAAATTCCATCACCTACAAGAAAGCACTTCCCTGGTAAAGATTTTTATCAGCTTGAATGTTCATTATCATTTTGAAGAAGAACAAAAAAAGAATTCAATTAAAGGTATTTTGACCAGGATGCAAAGGGGAAAAACCAGCAACTTTGTATTAGCAACTAGATTAAGTAAATAAAGAAGGTATTTTTTGCCTCAAAAGCAATGTAGCAGAAGCTGTCAATACAGACTTAAAAAAAAAAAAAGACACCTACCTCAAGATACCATTTTTTGGCTTGGAAGCCCCCCTCTTTTTTTCATTTATCTATTTATTTTGTACTGGAACTTGGGCATCAGGGAACATGTAATTTATGGGTTAATTTTATTTTCATGGGGAAATATATTTAGATTTTCTCACAATGTTTATTATATAATCTGTCCATTTAGTTATAAAATGTTTTGTATTTATTTGATTACATTAAATGTGAATTAAATACGGGGATAAACATGGGGGTGTTGTTATTGTTTTTAGAAAAAATGTACAAGAAGTGTTGTAATTACTGTACTGTATCTCAAGGTGTGATAAAACTAAGCTTGATAATTATTCCCCAAGCAGAAAGAGGCATCACAGTGTATCCGACTGTTGCAGATAGTGCGACTTTAGCACTTATTGATGAGAGGATACAATATGCGTTACCATTAGGCCTGCAAGGTTGTCTGAAATACTAACAGTCACTAACAAAAATAAGAGATGGACAAGCTTCATTATATTCATTTTCCAAGTAAGAAAGAGAAATTTGAAGAGGTTGAGTGACTTTCTCAAGTTCATGTAACTTTTCTAACAAATGCCGAGTCACAGGTTGTGCTCAGGTATTCCAGGTCAAAAGTCAGGGTTTTGTTTTGATTTCTTGATTTCAGAATGCTGGTGGATTGCACGATTGCAGAATTCAATGCAAAGTATGCATATATTACAAATGCAAATATAGAGATAATTATGTACTGTATATGTGTTATATATTATTAAAGATTGAGTGTCTCTAAAACCTGCATTATGGACCAGAGATCATTGTGATTATGAAGATTTACTATGTGAATGCCTGTTTAAGATGTATAATATCTGAGCTAAGGAAATAATTTTATGATAGTGAGAATGATTTATTTAAATATAGAAAAGTGCTTAGAAGGAAAACCATGAACACTTTTGCTAGATATTTTAACAAATAACACATATTTTATTTATATTCTAAATCATCCTGAAAATTTAATTTGTAATGCCCTGAAATATATGCAAGTTAAGTGTTTCTATTTATCATATTTTTAACTATAAGCAACTTGTTCTTCTTGATTAGGTTTATGATATTTAGTTGTTTTAAAATATTTTTAGTAACTCTAAAATAAGTACATTATTATGCACATATGATTTTCCTTATGACACATGAAAACCTCCTTGCTAAAGTGTTTAAAATTTCATAATTTTGTATAATTACCTGGATTTGATATTGTTTTAAATGTTTGTTTAGAAAATAAAATGCACTTCCTTTTTTACATTTAACCTGCTGTCAGAGGCAGGAATGTCTAAATTTAACAAAGGGATACTTTTCATGTTGCATTTTGTGCCTATTTGTCCTTATAAGACTCTCTAAATATAGTTCAGCCTATCTTAATTTTTTATATATAGTCACTTTTACTAAAAAAACTCTGTGTTGCTTGGTGTTTTGGTGGTGGTGGTTGTTTGGTAACAGTAATCCCATTATGATATGCTGAACCTTTTAAAAAAACTGTTAACAATATCATATATTTTCAAACATACCAGTTTCATTTGATATATGTAGTTGAAAGATATCACACGTCAAGGATAGATTGACATATGTATCTTCCATTGAAAAGAAGTGATATTCTTGACATTGATAAGCATTAAGAACTGTTAGATTGTCCTTTGTCTTGCAAGCGATGTCTCTTGAGTGTCTGAATTTGCATAATACATTTATACTATAACAGCAATGGAGAAGAGTAAGGTAGGCTGTAAAATGGGGGCAAAAGAGGTGTAAGCGTTTCTTATTTTTTATCCCAAATTAAACATTGAGTATATCTATTGGATATTCTCTTACCTCTACTTTATGAAAGCTTTTCCTTGTTTTCTGTTTGAATGCTGCATATTTATGCATCTATAGGAGTTTTATGACCCGGAGGCTCAAGTAATAATAAAATATATTTAGTTACTGTTCTTAATATCTGAAAGCTATTCATTGCATCCTTAATTTACAAACATTATGATCAGATTACACACTCATGTATGAAATGAAAAAACTCTCATTTTAAAGTTAGGTTTTTCAAAAAGGAATCTGATAAGGAGGAGGAATTTGTAGGTAGCATGAGCATTCCTAGGGAGGAAAAGAAAAGAGCTTCCTGACTTCTGGGAAGAATAATAAATGAAAGCTAAGTGAATTCTGATGGAGAGAAACAGGTATTGCAGCAAGGGTAAAGTCATCATTGCCATAATTCCCACTAAGGTTCAGTTTAGTTTTTTTTTAAGTGTTTAATAAAAAATAAAAATAAAAATGACTCGAGATGAAGGGTTCCTGTACCTTTTAAGAAAGAATAGCCAATTGCTTAAACTTTGCGGAAAAATCTGGAAGGCTTGTGTACTAATACATTTTGAATATAATGATCAGGGAGAATAAATAAATATATGGCCTTTCTACTCAGGCTCTTGACAGAAGTTTCTTCTTCATAAGGCTGGCACGATTTCTGACCTGGAAAACGTTTTATGTGTACTTTTTTTTCCACTAAGAATAATCGAGTAAACATGAAAAAGCACGTAACTTCATTTGGCAATGAATGTGCTACACAGGTTTTAATTTTATATATGTCATGGTGTGTATATGTTTAAGAAGTTACTATGTTAATGTAGATTTAGAGTTTCATTTATATTATTAGTACAGTTTTTATACAGCTTTGTTTTATGATTTATGTTTTTGGAGATCTCTATCATCTAACTGTTTGAGAATACATAAATTTTAAGATTAGTTTCCTGAAAATCAATGACTAGTCTCTTGAAAACTACCTTATGCACTTCAGTAATACAAATACAATAGGAGTAAAATTTTATATGCATACACACATACTATATATTATTGCTTTTCTAATGTTTTATCAGAATGTAATCTTCAGAATACAAAAATCCCCTGCTCTTTGCATTAATTTAATTTAAAAAACAAAAAGCTTCTAGTAGCAAAATGTGATATATACTTTGAAAATTTATTGTTCGTTTTTAATGAAAAAATATTCAATATGTGGTGAGCTCACACAAAGGATCAGATTCTTAAATCAGACTCACACAAATCATAGATCTTACCCCAATACCAAGCTTTACTAATTTTTCAAAGTTCTGGCAGTCAAGCTCCGATGAAAGAGGGACAGGTCTGCAGGGTTGAAGGCAGCTCTTCTAGCTCTTTTCTCCTCGCTGAACATCTGCTTTCTGATCCAGAGTAATAAATCACATCTCCAAGTGAGGTTTTGTGGGTTGCCTCACACAGTAGGAGGAATGGTTCATCCCTGAAACATTTCTATTTGATATCCAATCAGTGTGACATTTTTCAGGGAGCTATGCTCATGAGTCCACAGATTATACGCGTATTTACTCAAATCAGTCCTTCACCAGGGACTTGCTATTAAAATTTCCATAGACGAAGACCCTTCTCTAAGCAAAGATTATTAGTTTGTTTTCCTGGAGATCCAGTTTTCACATCGACATGATTAGATGAGGTTTACCTTCCTTGTTTTCTTTGCCCTGGAGGTGTTGGTTACTTTAACTCCTCCCACCGTTCATTCTGAGGATGAGAGTCTGTTGGATGGAATGGGAAACCTCATGTCCCCAGCTTTCATTTTCCTTTAATTGTAAATGAGATGATGCTGTATAAGAGAAAGCTTGGGTGACCTGAGATTGCAGTTATTTTTTGTTACTCTTCCTGTGTTTCAAATCTTTCAAAACACAGTTTGAAGCGAGAGATAGAATATTGCTTTACTTGGAGATTCTTTGTGTTTCCTTTTTTTATATTTTTCACTTAAGGCAAGTTTTCAGAAATTGCAGTTTTCGAAGATCAAGGACATTGTGAGTGAATTGGGAAAGATTTTCTGTATGTAAACTATAATAATACTACATTGGAGAAGAGCCAGATATTTAAATGTTATCTTTTAACAAAAGGAACTTGATAATAGATAAAACTATACAGTATTTAAAGTTATAAATCTATGTTTTGTTTCCATTTTCTATTTATATAAATTTTATATAACATTGCTCCTATGGAACAATATTTCATTTGGCTAATTGGAATAGAATATGTTCTTTATCTTTTCTTCTTTCAATTATACTATATACATTATTTTATATTTAATTGAATATAAAATGGCTGGCCATAAGGTATTTTGGATGTAGGATTATATATGTAAAATCTCTATTTTTTTTATATTTCATTTTCTTCTACTTGGGTATGTATCAGATGTACAGTAAAAAAAATTCCATAAAACACATTCAAGAAAAACTGAGCCCAGTATTTGCAGGGTGATTTACCTGTTCTTCTGCTGTTCCACAAACAGACTTATTTCCACCCTCTAGTCTCAGTGCCTTTACTCACATCAGTCCCATAACCTATAGAGATATTTATTCTCTTTTAGCTTGTTCATATGAAGAAAAAAACAAGTTTCATGTTCCCTGCCCCACCCTTCACGTATTCCCTGGCTTCTCCAGGCAAAGAGAGAGTGACAGATTACACAGTGCTTCTTAAATTTTCATCCAAAAGTGGCACGTAACAGTTCTCTTCCCATTTCATTGGTCAAATAAAGTAAGTTAAATGGTCACAGCTAACAAATGCCAAGGAGTTAGGGAGGAATCAGCCAACTATATGCCTAGAAGTGGGAAAACCATGAAAAATGG